ATATATATATATATATATATATATATAGTAATTTTATAACAACCGAAAAAGCTTGTCAACGTTGGCCTTAACGCATGTCATTATTTTGAATAGAACACAAGCGCTATACCTTTATATTTAAGACAACTTGACATTTTCACAGCCGATATCTAATCAATTAAAAGTAATGAAAATTAAGAGGAGCAAAGTAGTCGCCCGCGTTTTTCTTGATTTGCAGAATTGCGGTGGAATTTACGATCGCTTTCAATTTTTCTTGGGAACGGCTTTACGAAGTAACTTGCAATTTTCACAGCCGACTGATTAATTAAGATCAAGAGGAACAAAATAATCATCTGCGTTCTTCTTGATTCGAAGAAAAAAGTTACGGTTCAATTTGCCAAGTCAATCTTCTTTTTTTGATACAACGTATTTAACATGCCGACATAACTTTATCTTCTAGTCTTAAACACTTCCGGCCGTTTTAGACTTAGGACTCAAGCCAGGCTTAGGAATGTCCACCGTGCCAAAACCTTTTTTCAGGCTTTCGCGAAAACGACCCCAAAGGGTCCATTACAATAGCCGGCCGCAGTAGGTACCTGCCGTGGCAGATTCCATTGTGGTTCGACTGACCTTCAAAATTTTTTATTTGTCACAACTCCCTTTCACTTTTTCTTTGTCAGTCTTTCACGTATTTCTCGTGGAGAAAGGCCAGGAAATGTTTCGTTGGAACTAATCGTAAAACTCGTAAAAGAGAACCGCGGTGAAAATACATTTTGGTACTCCGACTATTTTATTTAAAAGATATTTTGACCGTAAAAATTTCAAGTCATCCTGTAAAGCAGTTTTCGAGAAAAGTTGTGGATTTTCATGTCGCGTCCTAATACGATCGGACGAGGGGGAAACCGCTGACCAAAATCTTATACACTAATGCCCACTAATGCCCAGTGGGCATTGCATTATCTTATCTTATTTCCTTTTGTTTACCTTGCTTTACCTTTTTTATCTTTATAATGCCCCAATCTTCTTCTTCTCTGGTTATTGGCTCCCGGCTCACAGACACTGAGCCGACACGGCCACGTCGAACCAATAGATTTAATGGTATTGCTTGGAATGTAGTGAATTGAACGATGTAATGGCCCGGTAACCGGGCCACGCGCGGGATGATGCAATCCCGCAGGATCAAAAATTTATCTTCCGTCGGAAGACGTGTGAACCGCTCGACTGCCCAGACGGAACTCTAGCAAGGCCCAATGCCCAGACTAATGCTCAAGAAATGCCTAGTAATGGCCAGTAATGCCGCAGATCTGTACACCACATGCCCTCAGCGGTTTCCCCCCTCGCGATCGAACGATTGCGAAAACTCTCGTATAGCACGGCATTCGCGCGGAATTACAACATGGAATTCATCCTGATAAGATTTGGGAATATTTGTGCGCTTTCGTACCACAATTTTATGTTGCATTTTAATCCCACACCGTTTCTTGTTACATGTTACAAGATTTTGCACTATAAGATGTTTTACAGGAAACCTAAAGGCTGGTCTACAATACATGGAGTAAGCTGGAGTAAGCTGGAGTAAGGAGTAGGAGTAAGAAATAAAATCCATTTTATTTCTTACTCCTACTCCTTACTCCAGCTTACTCCAGCTTACTCCATGTATTGTAGACCAGCCTTAACGGCTGTTAGGCAGGAGTCACTCCTGCTAAAGACACGAGCGAGTCAAGTACATTCCCGACGATCTAACAAGGAAGAGAGAAGAATGGTCAAACGTCTGATAAGAAAGAACGGACATACAGTAACAGCAGGAAACGATACTATACAGGCTTGCTAACCTGCTATAGGAACACACACTGTCTATATATTAGGCTTGTTTTCTGTTGCTACACTGGTGAACTAGTGCAATAAGTTAGAGTAGGACAAGTATATTTTTTCTCATTCTAGCTTACTGCACTAGTTCACCGGTGCAGCAATAGAAAACAAGCCTATTAACATGAAGAAGTTTGACGATTCAATAGGCTTGTTTTCTGTTGCTGCACTGGTGAACTAGTGCAATAAGTTAGAGTAGGACAAGTATATTTTTTCTCATTCTAGCTTACTGCACTAGTTCACCAGTGCAGCAATAGAAAACAAGCCTTATAATTGACCACGTTTCTTTTATAATTTGACTTACCATATTTTAAATGCGGACTCTAGCTAGGAATTATTTATTTATTATTAAGAGTTATATTATATCATGTAATTATTTAATTATGTATATTTGAAACTTATATTTAATAAGCGCTGATGAAAGCACCGTGTGCTGAAACGCGTCCGCAAGATTGAATCAATGTAATTACATACATAAAATAATTTTATAACAACCGAAAAAGCTTGTCAACCTTGGCCTTAACGCATGTCAAGTTATCTTGTAGTGCCATTTTCAAGATTGAAAGCGATAGATAATTCAACCGCGATTCTTCACGAAAAGCGCGGGAGACTGTTTCGCTTCTCTTAATCCCAATTAATCAGACTGCAAAAATTTAGAGTTATTTCGCAAAAACTTTCGAAAAAAAGATCGGAGGCGATTTTTACAACTTTCTACACCGACAGAAGGTGCGGTGTCACAATCCCGTTAACATCGCGTTCGCGAAAGACGCAGCTCGTTACAAAACTCTCTCGCTCGCTCGAGATTTATTCGTTAACAAATTGATTTGCCACATTTTCTCCCGCGCAGTTAATTTCCTCCGTATCGCGCGACCGACTTGATCAATCCGCGCTGCAGAGACGCGCGTATCAAAGCGGGGAAAAAAATTGCGCAGTTGCACACTTCGCACGGAGCAGAGCGTCCATCTTGTCTTCTCTTATGCGACACCAACGGACCGTTGCAGCGCGTACGCAAAATGAACCGAACGGATAAACGCGGGCGGGATATCATCGGCGGGATATCATTTCGCGCTTCCGCGGGAGAAAACCGCGAGCCCGAATCGCGCGTAGCGAGCCGTGAAGCGGCTGAGAGCACTCACCAAAATACCCTTTGTCATCGTTTCCTCGGTTACCACCTCGGCCGCCCCATCTGTTGTTGCCTGATCTTTTCGGCATCTTGCTCGAGTCCACGGAACCCAAGGGATCCACGAAGCTAAACGCGAGACCTAAGCGAAAACCGCGAAACACCTAGAAAATCTATCCTATCTACTCGCACAACCCTACTCCTAACCTCGAACTTCCCCTAACGTCTCTTTGCCCTTCACTCAACGAGCTACGCAAGCACATCAGAACCGTAGCTACGCTGTGGCACGAATGAGCGGGAAACGAGCGAGATGCGCGCCTGTCGGGTTGAGTTGAGACTCGAGACGACGCTGCGCGCGCATGCGCAGAGGGGGAGCCGCCGATGACGACGCGACCGATGATTGGTCGAGCGGTGCGGCAGCCGCGTACGCCGCGTACTTTCCCCGAAGGGCGGTATTTCAGTCCATGATTATTCGACATGGCCGTATCAGCTCCACTTCAAGGAGCTGGGAGCCAATAAAGCCTATCACACAATAGGAAAGCACAGGCAATAGGAACAGGGAATAGAATTTCTGACGCGTTGGATT